AGAAAATGATTTGAACATTCCAAGCTACTTGTGCTCAACCAGTCACCGATTGAAGGCTATATTTGTAAGGTATTTGTTACAACATATGTATGTATATTGAAAAAAAATAAAGATATATTATGGAACAAGAAATAATTGAATTTTAACAGAAACCTGTTGAAACTTTTATTGCAATTATTTTTTTTTAACTATGCGTCAATGTTGTAATACAAGATTTGATGTTATAATAAATTGAAATAATATTTGACCATTATTCAGATTGATCGCTTTATCCAGTAGAGGAGTTGAAAGACTTAAACATACACGTAGAGATAGAAACGTAGCCTAAATTTTATTGAATAATAATAGTTACGTGAGTCGTAACATTATGGAGCCTTATTTTTGTTACTTACTAAATACTTGTATATTTTATTATTAATTAATTATAACGTTATAAAAAAAATCTTAATGAAACACTTTTTTTCATGTTTATAATATTTTTTTTATTATTCAATACTTTGAGAGTCACTAACTTATACTATCACGCAAATAAATATCTCAATTGTAAATGAAATATACTAGTAATCTAATACTATACTTTGTTAATATCGAACGTGTCAGCTGTATATTATATTAGACACATGACGCCACTGATTTTTATATGGTTTTATGAACAACTCTGTTTCGCATACTCTCAGTATAAACCACAGCCTGAATCTGTCAGATGGTCGGAGCATGCTATCGATTGACATGTGCCCAAACCACATGACGTGCTGACGATGAGGTATTATTAAAATGAATTGTTATTAAAGCTTACTGGAAGATTTAATGTTTAATTTTTCATACTATCTTCATATATTTACACCAATTTGTTTATTGAATAATATTTTTGGTAATTGATTTAATTATTGAATAGTTTTATCGTAATTACAATCAAATGAACGTTATAAATGTTATAATTTTTATATGGAACCAAAAAACAACGCCAGATTCCAACTAAAATTACTAATTTAGTTGAAAATTACTTGACATTAGTCATTTTTAATACATTTCTATCCATATGACATGTATTAATAAGCCTCCAAGTGCAGGCTTCTCATTGATTTCATATTTAATTAGAATGATACATCATCCTACAAGCTACCCACATAGTTTCGTTGAAAATCATATTAATCAAGTGAAATTTATAATATGTTAAATGTAATCGATATATTTTTAAAGTTTGTATGTGGAGGCGTCGGCACTCGGCGCCATCGGTTGGTAATCGGCCACGGATTAAACTAAGGGTCATTGATGTTTAATATTAGAAAAAAAATTGTCATCTTAAAATATATAAAGATACTTTTAATATAAAACCAATATGTAACGATATTATACATGGAAATAAGTACCAATGTGATTTTTCCAAGTCATATGTATTTTCTAAGAGTATTTAGACATCACTGATTAATGCATTCTCAAAGAGGGATGATGTCAGACAGGCGGCCGGTCGTAAAATAAGTAGCCAAAACTATTCACAACATGTAAGGCAGAGCTTTGCTAAAGCTGGGAAATTGCCAGGTAGAAGTAGAAGAAGATTATATATGGAAATGTTTTGAAGCGCGTAGACATGTTACGAAGAATCGTTTGAAAAGAGATTAATTGTTATGATAATAATATTGAAGTATTTAGCGTAATTAGTTCGTATGTAATTTAAGTAGTCCAGTATCTTCCATTTAAGTTAAACAATATTGTAGGCGTGAACCTTGATGTCAAACGACACTGTGGGTATCGTGTGGGCTTCGAATTACAAGTATAACTCTCATTTTACTTGTTTCAATAATATTTTAAAGTATAATTTCAGTTTAACTATAATTATTGTAAATTCAGTATAATTAAGTATACTTTTCATACGTAAAAAGAAATAAAAAGTAGCCTATATTTTGCTCAATACAGTCAAGAGTTTGTGGAATAAAAATTTATTAACGAATGTTTAAAAATTTGAATTCATTTTAATTCACTATATATATGAAATGTAAGTAATAAATATTTCTTCATAATAAGTAAAAACAATTTTCAATTACTATAATAATGTATAGTAATGAATGATATCATCACACTACTGAACACACATACAAACGTCAATAATAACAAAACACAAGCACGTACAAACGTACACACAAGTATAGATAGTGACAGTAAGAGAACCGGTCCTGCAGCTGCAAGATGTAGTGGCGCTCTGTAGCGTTGCATCGGTCAAGGGTATATACTCGTAGAACCTTTGATATGAATGCACGTTAATTTTAATATCCAAAATATTTTTGAACAGCTATATATTAAAAAATATGTTTTGTTGTTGATGATACATAAGAACGTATTTTGTAAAAAAATATATTTGATGAGTTAAAAAAATATATGGAATATATTCTATGAAAAACAGTATATTACTGGCTATGGATATTTTATTTTTTATTTCAATATACTTTTATATAATTAAATGAGACTGTTGTTTTATTTAAATTAATAACAAGTAGCAATGAACAGTAAATACGAAAAAAAATTACCTAAGAAAGAAAATTTTTATATTCACTTTAATAATATTTTAAATCATAGTGTTCTGGTGTTAATATTGTAAATTGATATCTGTGTTGCGTGATACTACCACATTAAATGAGAACGCCAACAAAAGATATCTAACGTGTTGAATTTAAATAAAATCATTTTGCTATATTTAGACTCTTGCATGCTGGATGTATCAAATTTAATCTTGAGATCATCTATCAAGGTGACCTTTGACACGAGACTCATTACCTGTCCAAATTTGATTAATATAAACATTCCTATTAAAAAAAAAACTATTTTTTGTAGTGATTAAATGTCTTTGAAATCATGATAATAAATAAATACGAAAGGTTAGAATTGAAAAGAAAAATTATCACAATAATACGGAGAGAAAAAATCCCTACTAATATTATAAATGCGAAAGTAACTCTGTCTGTCTGTCTGTCTGTCTGTCTGTCTGCTACGCTTTCACGCCTAAACCACTGAACTGATTTTAATGAAATTCGGTACAGAGATAGAGTTGACCTTGAGAAAGAACATAGGATAGTTTTTATCCCAGACTTTTGAAAGGTTCTCTTGGAAACGCGATATAACCGAACTCCACGCGGCGAAGCTGCGGGCGGAAAGCTAGTAAATAATAAATATTGCATATCTTGATTTACATGAGTGATGAATAATAAGTGAAAATGCATATGAGCATGTTTATATTAAGTACCTATAGTTAATGTTTCGACTCATTTAATATATCTTTAAGTTCTTGATTACATATACATTGTAATTTTTATCATGAAAGTCTCAGTAACTTGAACCAAGGACAAGAGCCGGTGGTTAAATTTTTACAGATTTCTTAAACAATATTAATGATATTTACAAACAAAAAACCACTTCTAATGTATCCTTTCCGTGTATTTCAACAGTGTTAATGGCTGGCCCAGTTCGCACTATACTTTCAGCACGTACAATTGCCAAGAACGTGTTCAAATCACAGACTTGCTACAGAGTATTACATTATTAAAATATTATTCAATAAATATAATTAAAACGCATATAATTTACATTCATGTAATATGTTCGATGCATTTATTCATTCAGTATTGGCAATCTTGTAATTAAGTTGTGATTTATAGCCCATTACTCGTACTGACTTGACCATTCATTTTATTCGGAATTTTTTACTTTAACCCTTTTCCAACTAGCTTCAAGCTATGAAATACCAATATATAATGTGTAGACTTAGAAATTATCGATGCCTTTCTGAGACAAATGGTATTTAACTTGGACTAACTGTTTTGCGCAAATAAATACGAATACACGTTTTCTCGTTAAGTAAATGTATGTAGAATGCTCATCTTATGCTTCAAACAAAATACAATAAGTTGTTCCCAATTATACAACACATCTGCAGACTTTACTAGTATAAAATGCAAATAGATAAAGTATACAAAAAATTTGCGCTCGAGTCAAAGAGTTCAGTGGACTTGATAAAAAATTGTTAAGAATAACTACGAAATTGTAATTACGCTTCATTATGAGGAAACGAAATAGATTGTGTATAAGATTTCAAAAATTACATTGAATTCTCTGTCTATTGAAATACTAAATCTTTTGTTGCACGTAGTCGTTTTAAATTTTTAAGTACTACCAGTTTTGTTAAATTCCTAAGAACTTTGTAATTTCTTACTAGAATCGACCACGAAAATTGTAAATGAAATAGGTCTTTGTAACACGAGCGTGGTTTGCGATCTAGACAAAGGATCATAAACTGCAAGGCGAAGGTCCAACGAGATAAAGCTGAATAAGTAAATCACGACGTTGGCTTTATATAAACCAGTTTTTGTTTCATATAAGTTTTATACAAAGAAAAAATATTCTAAACAATGAAATATTTTTTTTAGTTAATCACGTAGGATTTGAAATATACTGGCGAATCCGTGACCGGCTCGCACGAATAGAGAATCCTTTCATAATAAAAAGCTGCTACGTCATTTTACGTTCGAGACGTGTTGAAAGTTGAAGCCCAAAAATTTGAGGTCAAATAAAGCAGTGAACTGAGCATTGTTCAGTAAAGGTCACGTTTGATTGGACACTAGCGACCGACCGTGCGAGACTCAATGAACGGATAGCTTATTGAAACGTTAATTAATAGACCTCTTTAAAAACCGTATAATTTACATTCACTATGAGGATGTGGGGGGTGAAAATAAAAGTGGCCGATTTACTCGATTTCAATTTTAACTGGTTTGAAGCCCTTTTGCTTGTCACTTTTACTTATTGTGACTAAACTCAGTGAAGTTCTAATGGTTCGTAAGTTCGTGAATTTTTAGCCCTTTAAACATTTTGCTGTGTCCAATGGGGCCAAAAAAAAAAGTAATAACATATTAAACAGTTATTTGTTTTTGCAGTAAAGCAATATTTTTGACTTTCGTACTGTTTAACTTCTCTGTGTATATGTGGTTTTATGAATTATATTTTTTACTGACCTTTAAAGCGCAAAAGATGCAGGATGGTCCAAGGCACGCGTGACCGGTCAGCTCACGGAAGCTTCGCCGGAAAATATCCAGATGCCATAGTACCTGATATAAAAACACTGATTTAATAAAACATAAATATAAAAAACCTGACATTGTTCTGTCCTCTCCGTCTCCTTCTGCCAGAGGCAAGGGATATATATAATATAAATTTACCTTTTATTTATATTTTACATATTAAAATCCAGTCAGTTTTATTACGATATTTATGATCAATAAGACAGACTGTTGCATTCATTATAATGACGTTATGATAGAACCTGTATGATGATATTTAAATGTCAGTATATAATATTATAACCTTAAGTGTTTGAAATAATAAACAACCAAAAGTTATTTGTGTTAAGAATCCAATAATAGAAATGTAATATATTGTCGGGGATAGTGCAAATCCGTGGAACAACAATTTGATAATTTGATAAGATTATCGAAGAAAGTTTAAGCTGAAATATTTTCTATATTAACGACTTTTAAGGGAATTTTTTTCACAATTAGCACAATTCTTCTGATAATCTGCTTCCGATGTAGATAAGTCATACGCGGAATTATCAAATGGTACTTACGGGGATTGCACTATCCCCGACGATATGTATTATATGAAAAATTATATATACTTAGTGTTTATTTTAGTATCATTGATTATAATTTATGTGACGATCATTTAACTAAGATGACACGTCGCACGTTTCGCGTCAGGTGCAAGAACACATGACGCCGCAAAAAAAGACTTAGCTTACTAAAAAGGAAGTCAAACGCAGTCACTATACAAAAACAACACATATTTGAAATACTGTTCTAGTAACATCAATAAATTTAAATACGTAATTCACTGTTACACAAATATAACTATTTTTATCTATATACATAGGCTTTATTTATTACGACAATAATATATGGCAATTTTTTTACAAATATTTTTAAAGAAATACGTTAAGTTGCAACAAATATGTATTAGCTTCCAAATCATTATGCTTTCAACATTAAAGAAATGTATTGCTAAAAATTGAGTCCAAACTTCAAATTCACTTTACGCAACTTGAATTGGATATTCCAAAGGGTTAAGATTCGTTTCCTAGTCGAGTCCATGAATTTTTTTAATACTTCTAATTATAAATGTCATAATTGCTATCCATTATTCATATGTGAGTAAACGTAGACAGGGTTGTAATAGCTGTCCTTGAGCGAGGGTACACTAACCCACATCTATGTATTAATTGGTCCCAGTCGTCTTGTATGGTGTTCGTCAGGTGTTTATTGTTTTCATAGTTGCTGCCTGCAGGTGGTTCACCGGTTTAAGCAGATGTTCCATATTTTATCTTATTTTTATAACATTACTATATTGATTATAACTGCTATTTGTCTTCTGCATGAATTACTTCTACGATAAGACTTAAGGGTAGCTGTATGTTATAGTTGAATATCGATTATATTAATTGATTTATAAATAATATTTAATGTATATTTTAAAATTTAAATAGTATATATATCAAGAGATACGTATTTTTTGTATAACTAATATAAAAAAATTCAATAGTTTTATTGTTGTTGAATATAATCGTGGCAGATGCGCAAGCGCAGCAGGTAGTTGTCTAAAGTATATCAGCCTGTTGTTGCACAAATATTTTTTCCAGTCACGTAAAGATAACACTATTATTGTATATCATTGAAATAAGCTTTTTGTATTTTTTGCATTAAATTAAAATATAATATAATTTTATTATGATTATGAAAGGACAGAAGTGAACATGTGAAATAAAACGCGTATAACTCACGTAAAATTGAATTCTTAGTTTACATAGTTGTAGTTGTAGTCCGGTATCTAATAGACACATCACACAAACTACAAAGCATCGTTTATAGGTCTGTTTGTAAAACAAATTTCTTAGTATCACGGACGCGGACTCCACAAACGTTCTATGTATTTCAATATATGTTTTGTAACAAATTTTATTCAAACAATAAGCTGGAGTTACTCTGGTTTAACTTGATAATGGATCCGGAGACAAATATTTCATAAAAAATGACATAGGCGTTCGTCAACAGATGATAAGATAAGATTTTAGGAAACTGCATTATATTGTGACGAAATCGTGATGAGTTAGTGACTTAAGCCAGGCTCAAAGATAACATTATGTTTAAGTTTGAAGACGAAATATGTAGAACATTTATTATGCATTTCATAATCAATTTTTTTAACTATTGTGAATGTAACGAATCGAGATAGTTGTGTAGAAAACAATTGGAATTATATTTATTTTCGATACTAAAATTTGACATGTACATTCGCTTTACTGTGAACTATGAAGCTAAATAACTCTTGTGGAATGAAACGGTACTTCTTTTAAAATAAACATTTAAGTTTCTTCGCTAATTTATTAATTATTTTAATTTGAAATACCTAGTATATGTGGAAATACAGACGATATCAAGATTAAGTAAATTAGCTAAACAGGCGCCGTCAGTAACGGGATATGTCATCTAGTTTGTAACTTCCATAGATTGTGTAGTTTTTATAAAAGATAACATTGAATAATCCAGCTTATAGACTAGCTTATTACCCGGATTTGCTTACATTTTTTTTCGAACCAACTAGTTATAACGAATAATTCCGTACTATTACGGCCAGATAACATAAAAAGACGTACATCATTCGTTGAGTAGATTTGTAACGAAAGATACTCCAATTACCATAGCCGGCGAATCGTAAAGGCGGCTCTATTAATAAATTTCATGCTAGTTATAACTTCACACAAGTTATACAGGTTTTTTTTATATATATATTTTACGATCACCTTATCGAGGTTTTCACTAGCACTTAGATTTCTATGAGAAAGAAAAGTCTGAGAGGTAGTTCTGTTTACACACGTTTTTATTAGCGAGGGAGTGCATTGATGCATCTAACATATTGAATTTATAATAAACTTGATTCCGGCCGCGATTTGACGCTACTCGAACAACGTGGGAAATAAATATCGCACGATTCAGTTTCAATCTGTATATAATTTGTTTATACTATCCGCTGCGTGATTTAAACGGAGCGCAGTTGAAATTGAATTGGTATAAAAAAATGAATCATATTCAGCTAGTATTTGTAAATGTTGAAACTGGAAGTAAACGACGCCAAATGTCGAACTGTGGTTAAGCGACGATTTGTAGAGACAATTTCATGATGGGTAATCGTGTGAGATTTAATATATTATATACTTATGAAAATTTTTATAATGGAAAGTTTAAGGAAATTCTTCTCAATATCCTTCTAAGAAAGTGAACGCTGAAAGTTAATTTAAATAAAACGTAACGGATATATCCCAACGGTTGCATCGGAAATGAACACGTCAAGCCTATACGGAAAAAAATACTTATAAAATAGATAAATATTAAAGCTGATATTATATTTAAATCCTTGTAACCCTTTTTAAAAATATTAAGTACATTTGTTAACAGTTTTGACATAACTATGAGTTTTTATTTGGCTTTAATAAAATTGCCGAAAAAAACGTAAACTATGTATATGTTACATTTATGAAAAACACCAAAACTATAAAAATTTATTAACAATTAACAACAGGAATGTACGTACTACGAATGTACGTCTGGTATATTTTACTGTGACAATTAATTATACTTTTTTTACATACTGTATAATGAGTAACTAGTTTAACACGTTTTAAGAACATTCATATTAAAAGTTTACATATTTTATACAAGTAATTACGGTATGTGAGAAAAGACAGCGACATTACATTTAAATAGTATAATTATACTCATAATAATACGAAATTAACCCGTACTTATCAGTTTTCTGTGGCTCGTACGTTCGAAAGGATACCCTGGATAGTATAAAAAAATTCCAGTGAAAATAATACGTTATCCCAAATAACGTCCGTCAAAAACCGGTCGGGGTGAGCCGCTTTTGGAGATCATATTAATTAATTTTTTTATGTTATTTTATGAACTATTCCATTTCACTAGTAACGATGCTAAACGATTACTCGGAATTTCGATGAACTAAAAATTATTACGCTAATGGGATATGATTCGATCATAATAGCATTTAAAATACTATTGCCTATAATGAAATTATTTGAATAAAATATATCATAATATTAAAGCATTATATAAGTCAAATGTTAATCGTCCAAGACAGTTAGTCTGCCCTACTGCTCACTGCTCATCCCTAAAATGGGGGAATCGTCCGACCGTGGCTACCTGCCTATAAACGTACATACATATAAATCCCATACAATTCTATATAAGCAAATCACTACGGGCCCGTGACAGCGGTCTCGCTTGCGTACACACAAATTGCATATAAGTTGGCTCATTCCCCCCTACTTCCCCCCTACCCGTTGATGTCTTTTGCTAGCCTTTTTAGAGGTCCCTATTATGGTATAGAATTTAATGTCGTTCTTTTCCCTTTTTGATGCCGTTCCTTGGTACGGGGGCGGTTTTTAACTTCTTTCAAATAAATATCTGAGAACACCAAATACTCATCTCTCGTGTAAAATATTTTATATATGTTTCTTATTACTTTTCTTGAAATACTAGTACATAGTACAAAGGGTTTCTGAATTATCAAGATCTACGGAGACCGCTCGGACCGGCTTGGTACCTGAACCTTATAATATCAAATTCGTTTTAATATAAATTAAATTATTTATCAAATAAAACCTTAGTGTCAACCAAAAATACACATGCATGGAAATTATACATATGAATGACAATTTTTTTCTTAAATTATAGTATTATTAAAAATTATTATTAAATTAAATTCTAAGCTTATAAATTTCCTAAAATATATTTAACTGTACGTAATGAGGAGAATGTTAATATGAAAGTTAATTACAGACCACAGCCTTAATTATATTAACAAACCTTGGCGCTGTGGTATAAAGCACTGTTCCTCGTAATCTTAGTCTTGGTCATGATCAACACTGAATCATCACAGTTCCATCACAACACATACATCATCACTATAATAACTAACACTACGTTTACGTGGTGTTTACAACGTCAGGCGTAGGTGTATAGTGGCGCGTACGCTG